TGCTTTGCTAGGGAAGGGGAAGCAGAGGTATGGTGTGGTTTTGAACCTAGTAGGGAGCTTGGGGAAGAAACATGTTTCAGGCGCTGCTAGCACTGTGGTCCTGACCAGGCTGTCTCTGTGGCTTTTGGTTCACTCCAGGGAGCGGAAACACAGTGGCTATCGACCTGATCGTTCAGCATGTCCACAGCCAGCTGGAAGAGGTAAGAGCTGCCTGGTCCCCGGGTGTTAATGCTGGAGTCACCCTTGCCCACGCAGCGGTGGCATTACAGGTAGCAGTGCTCTGGGTGCCAAGCTGGGAATGGCCTGGCTTCCCTCCGTGCTCCAGGCGTGTGAGCCATGGGGCTGTCCCCATGAACTGCCCCCAGCCCTGCTCCCTCCGTTTCAGCGAAGGAGACTGCCTCGTCCCTGTGCTCTGGTTAGTGCAAGGCTCCTCTGCAAGCTGTGGTCCAGCAGCAGCTTCCTTCCCTCCCCGGGAGAGCAAGTCGTCTGGGGACAACCAGCCATCCTCCAGTGATCTGACCGATGTGCCCTCCCTGCCTGCAGCCCTGCCGGGGCCAGCACCGCCCCAAACCCTGCAATACGTCAGCTCTCTGGCTCTGGCTTCTCCTCTGCACCCCCTTGCAGGCACTGCTGCACAGTCTTTCTGGTCAGGAGCCCACTTCTGTGTTGGGTGCAGCCCGTGGGTTTCCAAACCCAAAGTCTTGTCATGTTTTATGCCCAGCCTAAACCCTGATCCAGGCACGTGCTCCATCACTTCCCCATCACTGGCTTTAACAAGTCATCTTTTGTGTGTCCTGGGCCAGTCCTGACCAGTGGTTTGAGCCTGGGACCCTGTTGTGTGTTCCCTGAGCAGCACAGCCTCCTCCCGCCCCACGTTTGTAGCTTTGATGTTTAAGTTGTGAAGATGCTCAGAGCGATGTCCTGGGAGGTGGGAGCAGCGTGACCTGGAGATGGATGCACTTAAAAAAGAAAAGGGCTTGGTTCCTGCGGGCCTTTCTGAGCTCCCAGATGGCAGGAGCAGCTCGGCCCCTGGACGTGAGCTGGCAGGCGGCAGCACCCTGCCTCCCGCGCCTGCTCAGGAGGGACCGCTCTCAGACAAAGAGAGGTTCCTCCTCCCGGAGCACCCCGCTCTCCGCAGGGCTGCGGGCGGTAGTCGGAACCTTCCGACTGCCCGGATTTACAGCACTAAGCTCTGGCAGGTCTGGAAGTTGGTTTCTAAACCCTAGGTGACAGGAGCAAGGATCGGAGCCCCTGGCGCGGGGCTGAGGAGGGCACGAGGCCGTGGGTGCAGGCCAGGAGGGGGGAAATGGCTGTTTCTCCCAGCCCCTGGGATCTGGCCAGGAAAGCTCGCGGGTGGACGCTGCAGCAAGCAAACGTGGCAGCTCCTCCCCAGGGCGCTGCCGAGAGCCAGGCGAGGGGTTGGCTGGGGGGGGGCTTTCATTTACCTGGGGAGGGGAAGAAGGGGAAAAGGCTACATGTGAATGCAGGAAAATATTCCTATTTTTCCTTTTCTTTTATCTTGAAACGACCCTGGTGTTGACAATGCTTAATACCGGTTGCATTGTGTCTTTGTGTTGCTGCCGCAGCGTGAACTCAGTGTCAGGTAAGAGCCCCTAACTCTGTCCTGTCTGTGCAGCCCGAGGCATTTCCAATGCCAGGTACTGCTTGGCCTAACCCTGACCTGCAGTCGAGCCCGACAGCTCACGTAACGAACGGCCTCGTCACGCTCGAAGCTGACAAAAGGCCGCCTTGTCCTTGGCTTTGGGACCAGCAGGGACAGGGCTGTTCCCCAGGGATGTATTCGTCCGGCTTGAGCGCAGACCCCTGAAGCTGGGGCAGGACCAGGTTTGTTAGCTGGGGACCCCCGATCTCTGCAAGAGGGGAGGCTTTGCATCCTGGGATTCTCTCTTATTTCCCTTCGTCCTTCAAAACGAACGGTCGTTCAGAGCCACTCTCCATCCCTGATGATTAAAAATCATTAAACATCATTAAATATCAATTATTAGATTAACCAAGAGGGTGGTGGGAGCCCTGGATCCCTCGCCGCTTGCAGAGGCTCTTAGCTGCAAGCCCAGTGGCACCAGGAGGAGCGTAGCAGCTTCGGCCTGGCCAGAGGTACCCGCTTTCCTGCGGTATCTAAAGACTAGACAGCAACTACTTGGGGAGCAAAAAATACTTATGCCCTAATCCAGCAGGATTTCTAATTTCTCAGTATCTGCAGTTGAATGCTATGAAGTATACGATGATTTACTTAACCTCTTCAGCACGTGGATCCAGATGGGACTGTAGCGCGCTCGCTTCCATTAAGCTGCCAGCTAGTTTCCAGGTATTTTTGTAGGAAGCAGAGGGGATGCATTACTGCAGATGGATTTCCATTTAGATCTCCATCATTGTATGGAGACACTTAACTCAAGTAACCCTAACATTTGGCATACAAAAAGCTTTTAAAATACCTAAGATGAACAGAAAAAGACTCTGCTTTACTGATTTCTGCTTAAGCCATTCATTTCCTAGACTAGGCAACTGGATGTTATATTTTATTTCTGTTTGCTTGTTTAACACCATGGGGCCTGACATTTCCATACAGACATCGCAGTGCCAGGCGTAACCTTCCCTGTGTGTCTGGAAGTCCAGGTGGGATGGTGCTCTTTAGCATGGAGAGAAGTCTGTTGCTTTAAAAAATTGCAGGAGTAACATTAGAGAGTAGACTGATGTGTGTGTGTATGTCGGTATACATGCCTATAGGTGTGCGTGTATATATAAAGATATAAAATTTCCTTTCTCTCCAAGGATTTTCTTCTTTAATCAAAGTGGCACTCTGTACAGGTGATCTTTTTGTGCAACTTAAAAATCAAATATTTAATAATATGTCAAGAAAGTGTGATGAGATAACGTATTTGGAAAGGTAACTCTGACCTCCAGAAATAACTCCATGATAACTACGGCATCCAACATTTTTATGTTCATTTAAGGCTCATGGTTTCCATTTATGCCTTTGCCAGAGATTCCAGAAAAAAATTCCTGCAAAACAATCTGTTTACACTCCTGGAGTGCCAGTGCTTTTACTGCTGCTGTGGTTTCCCATCAGCTCCTCTGCGGCTCTGCGCTCGCAAGAGGAGCAAAGTGGATGGAGAGACGCACGTCAAGTGAGATGTGCTTGGCAAATATGGGGCTTTTCATCTAAAACAATTCCCAATCCTCTTGTCTTGAATGGCTTCATCTAAATGTCACGGTTGTTGTTTGGATGTCACCACCTTTTGGCGGCCATGGGGACGCAGTGAGACCTTTGTAGCTGGTAGAATAAAACCTGGATGCTTACATCTGGCCCCAGTCCGAGGTACTTCTCTGGTCCTTGTGCTCCAGGCTGGCCCCGGGCTGCCTCTCCTGACCCAGAGGGTGGCTGGGACAGGCAGGCAATGCCTCTCCCCGATTCTCAGCTGATCAAATGAGTGAATTCTGAGGAGTTTAAGGAAAGCGGTGCCATTCCCTGGACCTGTAAGCCTTGTTTTCCTCCTGTAACTGCTGGCTGCTGAGGAGGATCTTTTCCTTCCTCTATTCCCTCAGAGCGCAGGTCGGACCTTAGCGTCCTTGCAGTTGGGATGTTTCTTGTCCAGCTTCCCACACGTTTAACTGTGCATGTGCTGGAGATGTAATTACGTACAGGCACTCCCTTTCCATCCATGCTCAGGTGAGTACTTGTCCCCGAGCCCAGTGGCAGGACCCGGCCCGGTGACCCAAGCCTGCCGAGGCACAGTGCCTCAGCCCAACCTGTTTTCCATCCCTTCCACCGCGCTATTTCAGCACCCAGCCCCGCTCTCAGAGCCAGTGCTCTTTTCAGCCGATTCCCCTCGCCAATCAATATTCCCCACCCCCAAGGTCTCGATCAACTTGGCATGCCCTTTGCCAATTGTGTCTTTAAATATCAACCCGTGGCGCAGTTTAATAGCCCTTGTTTGAAATGTCAGCCGTGAAAGCCAGCTGCTGTACGTGTTTGAAATGCCTTGACTGCATTAGCTCCTTTGTAGCTGGATGTCTCTTGTCTGCTTCCTGCTTGATAGCATGCTCAACAAAGAGCTGAGGATGTTCCCTGAAGCCTTCCTGAGAGATGGTCACCCCTTTCTCTCTCTCTTTCTTTCTTTCTTTCTTCTCCTTTTTTTTTTTTTTTCCTTTAAAGCTTTTGTTCTGGGGGGGAAAAAATAAGTTTCCAAAGTGAGACATTTTCTTGACGTGCTCGTGGCTGCCTGTCTGAATTTTCCATTGCGGTCCTGCCTGGCAGGGGGAGGGACAGGAAGCCTTGCTCTTGCAGGCAGGCTGCCTGCAGTTTGTGGTGGCAGAGACCCACTCCCTCCATCTGTGCCGCGGGGCTGGGCAAGGGGTTTCACCGCCGGCAACACAGCTGTAGCGGGGTGGCTGCCAGAGGGGCTGAGCTGCTCCCTCTGCAGCCCCTCTCCAAGGGACGGTGATCCCAGGGCAGGTCCAGGTTGACTCGGGGGGAAGGAAGGTCTTCCCGGCTGGCAGCGATATTCAGATCAGAGCCGAGTTTCTCCCCGTATTCCCAGAGCTCTTGGCTTTCCAGGCTCTCCGAGGCTTGAGCAGGTCCTCTCTCCAGTGTGCCCAGAGATGGGCACCCCTGTGAGCCCACAAGCAGTTTGCGTGGGTGCGGTGTAGGTCGGATGAAGGTTTTGCAAGCTTGGCCTTGAGCACCTGCGCTTGCTCTGGGATTGCAGCAGAGAACCGGGCGAGGGCTGGGCATTTTCCTCCGGGATCCGAGAACTGCAGCGGGTGGTGCAGTGTGGTACCACTTGTACAGAGATGTGACAGTGTCCCTGCTGTGACTCTGGGGCGGTGAGAGCGGACGGAGCTTTGCTCCCATGGGGCCAGGAGTGGAGCCGGTGCCGTGAAGAGCAGCCGTGACATGACTTGGTCACCAAGAGAGGAGCGCTGGGGTCTGTACAGCAATGGCACAGGCACCGGGCAGGTCCAAGAGCCATAGGATCAGTTAGGGCTTTCCCCCCCCCTTTGACTAATGACAGTGCTTTTTCCTCTGTTTCATGTCGTGTTTGTCCCTCTCCCCTTAAACTTTTATGTTTCCTGTCTTGTCTCCCCTGAACATCCCTCCCGCCTGGTGACCAGAGGAAGCTGCGCTGGGATATGTGAGGAGACAAACACTAACAGCAGTGTTTCGGTTGTGACGGGGAACGGGGGCGAGGGCTGTGCAGTGTGAACCGCGTTACTAACCCGGGCAGACAGCTCACAGGGTCCTGCTTTGCTGGGGCTGTGCAGGGGAAACTGGGGTAGAGGGACTTGAGAGACCATCTTTGATGTGATCCCAAAAATGGGACCTGCTGCTGTCCCCCCAGAAAGCACTGTGGGGACCCCCACAGCACTAAGTGGCTTCCCTGAGCTGTTGGGGACAGGGGCCCAAGCAAGGTTGCATCCAGACCTCCCCGTCCCTGCACTGAGCACAAGCCCCTGTGCGGGTGTCACAGGAAGGTGTGGAAAGCTCGGTGACAAAACACTGACAGCGTTTCCCCAGGGGCTGTTGACAGCTCGGGGTGCAGGGGAGGTGTTCCCAGGCACGTGGGGCTGCTCTCAGGGGTAGGAGCACTCGCTGGCGTCTGCAGCGGGGGAGCAAGAGCAAGGTCACACCGCATCTCACCTGCAGCACCGCAGAGACCAGGGCAGGAGAGGGGCTGCCCATCCCGCTGGCATGGCGGGATGCTGTGACATGGACCTGGCAGTGATGGAGGGGAGAGGTCCCCGTGGCAAGCTCAGGCATGTGCCCCTGGGTGGGCTGTGGTGGGTGGGAGACAGCCCTTTGGGCTATGACCCCCAGCTCCTCTGGTTTGGGGGACAGCAGTTTGTCACCCTAGCAAACCCAGCTGGAGCCATGAGTTGGTGTGTGGCTCTGTCCTGGGGGGCTGATCTCCTGCACCCCCCTAGAAGCAGGCAGCCCCTGCACAGGCACCAGCATCCACCAAAGGCAGGGCTCAGGTCCTCACCTGCCGCATGGGTCTGCATCCCTGGGGCCGGGAGGGGCTTAGGCAGGGCTGGATGGCAACTGTGCCCCCATGTTCTGTCCCTGAGCCAGGTCTGGCAGGAGGAAGGAAGGGGGGCTGCGGGGGCAGAGCTGCTGGGTGCTGCCGGCAGCACAGCCCTGGCACAGGAGCATCTCCGAAGGTGGCTAACCCGAGTTGTGGTGACTAACAGAGCGAGCTCGCTTCACTGATGGCAGGTCCAGGGCCTTGAGGGCTGCTTGTCCCAAAGAGGCGGTGGGGTCTGTGGGCAGCAGGAGCGCGCTGGGCTTGGCCCCAACCCAGCCGGGTTCTGCCGGCAGTGGGCAAGCCTGCGATGGGAGCACAGCCCATCCCACACGCTCTGCACAGCCACAAACTGTCTCGGCTCTCAGGAGCATTCCCTGCGTAAGGGCTTTTTGCTGCTACGCAGGACCGGAGCTGGCAAAAGCAAGAAGGAGCCCTTAAGTACCCACAGGCCTTGGGAATGTCTCGTTTGGTGTTGGTCAGCCAAGACCAGGAGATGGCTATGTGGATGGAGGCCTCAAGTCATCTAGCCCTGCACTCCTCCATTCCTACCCAGCCATCTTCTTTGTCTTCTTCTCTGCTTGTGTGCCTCTGTGTGTGTGCGTGCAATTAATCCAGGTTTCTGCTTGATTTGAAATCTTAATCACCTGGTGCTTTCATTTGTTTGTTCTCTTCTCCTCCTCCCCAACATCTCTCTGACCAGGATGCAGCCGCTGGCACGTGTGTGATCTGACATGTGGCTTTCGGACCCCAGCCCTCCTCCCAGACAAAGTCACTTGTCCATCCTGCCCAGCCTTGTGGAAGCCAAATAGATGTAACCTTCATCTCATTACTGCCACTCTTAAAGAGAGAGGTGACTAATGGGGCTCCATTGTGCGCTTCCCCATGAATGGTGTTCCCTTGATCCAAGAATAGCTCCCAATCCTATTAGTTATGTGGAGATGAGTCACACAAAGCCAGTCCTGTCCAGCCATAAAGTCTTGAAGCTGTTCCCAATTTGGTGTCGATCTGACTATCCTTGAATGGGCCAGGCGCTCTCCAAAATAGTCTCATTGCAGCCTGGCTCTGCAGCCCTGGCCGGGTGGCACAGCCATCCCTGCGACGCTGCCCTGGCTGATTGACCTGGCTGCCTGTCCTGTTCTCGGTGACATCTGGCACTTGTTTTGTAGGACAGAGACAACCACAACGGCTCGTCCTCACCCCATGAGTTCAGGGTTCACCACCAGATAAGACTCCCGAGCAGGAGAAGGTTTTGATTTTATTTTCCATTTTCTTCTCAACCAGTGGAAACCAAGATGGGCCAACCATGAGTCGGCTGCCCAGCAGGAAGGGCAGGTCCTTGGGCTGCGAGGTCCCCCTGGCTCCACTGCCTGCCCACTGCCTGCTGCATTGGTGGGAGCAGGTCCCTTTGCCATCGTGGGGTCCAGGCAGGGCTGGCCGCTCGTTCGGCTCAGCTGCATGGCCTTGGTCTGCATTTGCAGTGTGAGATGACATCTGGGAGGATGGCTCCGGCCATGTGCTGTGCTCCAGCCTTCGGGCAGCCTTGCCTGGAGAACTTCTGACCATGTGTTTGGTTTTCAGGGCCGCCCTGGCCTCTGCCCACCAGTGCCACCCCCTTCCTCAGACCCTCAGTGTGCTGAAGAGCACCCCTCAGGTGAGGGGCATGCACACCATCATCAGGTAAAGCCCCTGCCACCGCGGCCTCCTGGGGCGGGATGGGGCTTGGCTGCCAGCTGGGGCGGGCTTGGCTTGCTTTGGACCCCCGAATCCCACTTGTGCCCTGTCCTCGCGACTTGAGGGTATAGGACAGGATAGACGGTGGTAGACCCTGCGTACAGGAGCTGTGCTGGGAGTGCTCCGTAGTGTTGCCAACAATTTTTCTGCCTTTTACCTTAAAACTACCCCTGCAATTCCAGGCTCAGCTGGTGGACCCCATGCAAACAAGATGCAGACAGGGGCAGGGGCTGCCCTCCTCCACGCAGCCTTTGACCTCTGTCTGCATCTTCCGGGGCACATTTTGGTCTGCAGCTTACATTGCCTTTCCCTCCCCTCTAGAAACAAGGAGACCAGCAGGGACGAGTTCATTTTCTACTCCAAGAGGCTGATGCGGTTGCTGATTGAGCACGCGCTCTCCTTGCTCCCGTTCCAGGTGGGTTCAGGGCTGTAACTGGGAGGGCAGGCAGCAGGCACGGTGTTTCTGATTCCTGATCCGTAACTGCCAGGGATCTGGGACAGTCCTGGCACTGCTCCTCCAGCCTTCCTTCTAGGTTAAAAAGGGACATGACTCCCCTAGGCTGTGGACAACTCTTTGTCCAGCCTCAGTTTCCAAGGGGCCAGACCATGCCGCAGCTGGCAGGCTCCCTGGTACCAGGGCTCCTCCGAGAGCCATGTCAGAGCCCCTGGTAATGCTTCTCACGTGGTTTTTGTAGAGTTGCACAGTCCAGACCCCTCAGGGACAGGACTACGAAGGGAGGACGTACAGCGGGAAGCAAGTAAGTAGAAGCAAAAGGTACTTACTATTCAACCCTGCCCCACAGGGTTGAACTGAAAGCCCTGTGGATGCAGGGGAAGGACACCCTGGCTTCCCGGGGCTTCCATCAGGCCTGGGTTCGGTGCCCGCTGTCATGAGTACGATACCCTAATCATCAGGACAGGCAGCAGGTCGGTGGCCAGGGGTGCCATCAGCAATGTCACTGTGCTGCTGTTGCCCTCCCACTGAGGGAGGCAGCCTGAACTGGGCCAGCACAACCCTCTTGGAAGGGATGTGCTTTGGGGTTGTCCATTAGAGTCCCCAGTTGTTGCCCAATGCCACACTGGGGTGGTGTGCACTTCCTGCACCGTGCCTTCCCCTTCACCCTGGCTGTGTGCTGCAGATCACTGGGGTGTCTATCCTGCGAGCGGGCGAGACCATGGAGCCAGCGCTGCGAGCAGTGTGCAAGGACGTCCGCATCGGGACCATCCTCATCCAGACCAACTGCAACACGGGCGAGCCGGAGGTAACGCCTGGGGCTGCTGAGGGCATCTCCTGGTGTTAGCCTGCATGCAGGGGATGATTCGGGTGTTTCCTGAGAGCTCTTAAGAGATCTGAGAGTTGATCATGGCGGGGGGTGAGTGCTTCGGAAGCGAGTGCTTTGAAAGCTTCTGAAGTGTGCTTTGCCAGCATGTTTGTGCACGCAGGGGCTGGTTTGCTGTCCAAGTGTTGCACCTGGCTCCAAGCTAACAACTGGGGTCCCAGAGATCGAGATGCATGAAAGATCCTTGACCCCTCTAAAAGAAAGGCTTGGGTTGCTCCATTCGCCTTCAGCCTCTAAGCTGATCTCTCTTCCCTCTGCCCAGCTCCACTATCTGCGGCTGCCGAAGGACATCAGTGAAGACCACGTCATCCTCATGGACTGCACGGTCTCCACGGGCGCAGCAGCCATGATGGCAGTGCGGGTGCTGCTGGTACGGAGGATGTCGGGAGTGCTGCAGAAGGCGGGTGGTTCGCCCCTGAGTAATGTACAAAACACCAGCCACAGCCATGCTGAGGAGCTTGAAATGAAGGTGTCATGGGAGCCAGCACAAGCTGGAGTGACTCTGTAACCAGGTGCTGACAGTCACCCCTTTCTTGTGTGGTAACAGCCTGGATTTAGTTGGTTTCTTGGTCCTGTGCCCAGTAACCCCAGTGACCCCAGCTGGACACAGAGAGGGGAGGGGAGAAAGTAGCTCTAGGAAGGCCCTTGAGTGCCCCGAGTGCCGCTCCCTGGAGGCATGGGCCGTAACCTGCCGTAGATGCCCTTACCCCGAGCTGTGTCTCTGCCTTTCTGTAGGATCATGATGTCCCAGAAGACAAGATCTTCCTCCTCTCCCTGCTTATGGCGGAGATGGGTGTCCACTCAGTCGCCTACGCTTTCCCCCGAGTGAAGATCATCACCACAGCTGTGGACAAGAAGGTGAACGACCTTTTCCGGATAATCCCCGGCATCGGTAAGTATCTGGGGAGGAATGACCTGGGGTATTTTCGGTGCTTCTAGCCCGCTCACCAGAAGCCCAGGTTGTCAGCAGCAGCTTAGGTCTGGCCTTATTTTACCTGGGTACCCACTGCCTCTCCTGGGTCCTGCTGCCACGTGAGTGCTGGGATCAACATGCACGTTCTGAGAGCTGTCAGGCAGCCATAACTTCATTGGCAGAAGGAGCCGTTCCACGTGCCATGAGCCTCCTCCGGCCCCAGGTGAAGCTGGGCTGGGACAGCTGGAGCAAACCCGTGCCCACCTCATTCCCTAAGCTGCCACCTTAAACAAGCTCATCCAAAACAAGCTCACTGTGTTCTTCTGTCCTCACCTCTGCTGTGCCAGGAAACAGCCCTGCCACGGGGTGCTAAAACAGCCTCCGGACTGCTCCAGTTTTGCTGCTGCATGACTTTTGGTGCCGTTCAAGCTGTTGGATAAACCTGCTTTTGTTTCCTTGCCTGCTGGGATGAGGGCAGGCTGGAGGATGGGTCCCAGGGCTCCCTGCAGAGCTGCACTCTGACTGCGTCTCTCTCTTTCCTCCTGCAGGGAACTTTGGCGATCGGTACTTCGGGACGGACGCTCCTCCCGACTGGAGCGACGATGAAGATGCTCTTAGCACTTAGCTGGATGTGGAGATGCCACTGGCGACAGGCAGCTTCAGCACCTTAACCCCTCTGTCCATTGCAGATTTCTCCTTCTTCCTCACCATGCATAGATATTTTTTTCAAATCTTACATTGGAAATCTAGGGCATATTTTTTCAAAGAAACACAAATCCTAGTTTGACTTTGTGGACAGTTGCGTGTCCCAGCATAGAGCGGAGTTAATTTATTTTAATTTAAATATTTGCCTATATAACTTATGAAGATATTTTGTAAAGAAAAATAATAAATTTTTTCTCTGGTTTTCTTGAATGGCGCCGTTCTTTATCACACCCCAGGGGTGCGCAGGAGGATTCGCGACCCTTCGGAACTGCTGCCCTGGAAGGGGAGATGCCACGAGTGGCAGTGGGAGGTTGAGTCCCTGCTGTTGAGGAGCAGGCTGAGCCTGCAGCCGTGGAGCGGTTCTTACAGCTCTCTGTGCTGGGTCAGGCAGCTGGTGGTTGTTTCGGGTGAACCCTGAAGCTCTTACACCCCGGGGAGAGCCTGCCCCTATGGGATGCGCTCACTCTGTCTCATGCTACTGAGGTAGAAGCTCAGCTCAGCTCACGTCACGCTTTAGCTCAAGAAGTACCGAGCCCCTCTCAGTTCAGCAGCTGAAGTGAAACACGGCTCACCCGAACACCAGCTTGCTCTTGCTGAATCAGAGCTGCTCAAGACACGGTGAGGAGCAGGTCTCATAACGGTCTCCAGGAAGCCGTTAGCAGGCCAGAGTAACCTCAGCGGAAGGGGAGCCGGCCAGCCTCACGACGTGGATTTAGTCAGAGGTGGTTGTGACCCCTGTGGCTGAACACAGAGTATTTTCCTTTCCTGCGTGATTCAAAGTACCAATGCAACATCCTAGTGCTGGAGATAAATGGGCCAAGAGGAGCAAACCTTACCCCTCGGCTGGGCATCCCTGGCTCAGAGCCGGCAAGGCGGGCAGGCACTGCTGGCAGCGAGGGGAGTGGGGCCAGGAGGGGGATGTTCTGCCAGGCCCTTGCCAAAATGGAGAGTCACCTGGTGATAGCTCAGTGTGGGCTCAGGTGTGATGAGCCTGAAATAACTGCCACCGCTCTGCAGCATGTTGTATAAATTCTTGACTAAATTTAAAAGAAAACACACGCCCGAGTTCGTGCAAGCACTCGGCGAAAGCATCAGCCCTCGGCTTGAAAGCTACGCTCAGAGCCAGCACTGACACTTGATTAGTGTCTGCTAAAAATAGCTCCTTGCGTAGGTGGAAGGAGAGCTCATAAGCACAAACGCAGGAGGATAGACAGACACAGGGTTTTGGCTGGGGCAGCAGGTGAGCAGCGGTGGGACAAGGGACAGCAGCATCACCAGGCTCATGGAGGAGCATGTCTGCACTCGGAGTCCTTCCTCTGGGCTGCAGCACAGGAGCTCAGTGCTGGAGGAGCCCAATATCTTCTTTCTAGATGACATTCAACCCCATGAATGAATGCTGCTGTCATCCTTCATGGATAAAGCTCCAGGAGACCTTGTTTGAGCAGTGCCATTGGCCTCCTTGAGGGAAATAAAACTATGTGTAGGTCTTGAGCAGGTTTTGCCCCCAGGGTCCACCATGGGGGTGAAGACCCCCACAATACTTCTCCCTCTTCTCCCCCATCATCCCTCATCCCAATCCACACATCTAAATTCCTTGACACATCGTGTATGCAGCCTTGCTGTGCCTCTGGTAACAGCCCTCAACGGGTAACATGTAGGAAGTGGCCCAGGGAGATATGTAGATGGAGAAACACTGGGTGCAATGGGGCTGTGACCCACCATGTGTAGCATCAAAGGGTGTCCTGCACCCACAGTCCATCCCAGGGGCCCAATAAGCCTGCGACGGGCATAGACATCAGCTGTAGGATACTCAGCCATGAGATGGGAAGATAAAAATTGGGGTGTGAAGGCTGTGGGGAGGAGAAGGCATCAACAGAGCCACAGATCACCACATATTGTTTTGCAGCACTTCCAGGTTGCTGAATGCCACCCACGCACATCCATGATGGCACAGCAGAGTGTGGCATGGCTCCCTCTTGCTACTACACTAAGGTCCCTGGGCTTGGGCACAGGGACCACACAACCCAAAGGTCTCTGAGACCTTCCTCCACGCCAGGAGCACCTAGGGTCCTGGAGACCTTTGCATTCAGGGTGATTCTTGCTTTACAACCCAATACATCCATAATTTTCTTCAGAACATCTGCATTTTTCCTCAACAGGTCCACATTTTTCCTCAGATCTGCATTTTTTCCGCAGCAGTTGTGCATGTTCCCTAAGTAGATCCCTAACTTTGCCTCAGAAGCTCTGCACTTTCCCTCAGCAGATCCACATTTTCCTTCAGCAGATTCGCATTTTCCCTCAGCACATCCACACTTCACCCCAAAAAAACCCAGGTTTTGTCACCACACAGCCATATTTTACCTCAGCAAACCAGCCATGCACCCACACCGTCACTCCCCTCCCAGGGCGGGCTGCTCCCATCACTTGAAAACATGGCGCCTTCCCCTCCCCTCCTTCTCTGTGCCCTGCTTGAGCTGACGATGGTGAATTTAGCAGCAAATGCTGGCCTCAACCCCAGGCAGTCTCATCACCGCCACCATTGCCCTTGTCCCTGAGCCACTGCACCATCTCGGACCCCCTCAGCCTCCCCTGGCCATAGTTCGGAGAGTGCACCAAGGCCCCTCTCCCCCACACCGCCATTACCAGAGCTAAAAGATTGAATTTCTTTTGTTTGT